CAGCACTTCTGCCTAGTAGTACTAGAGCTGTTGGTTCGAATTCCAGCCATGGCACCACCTGCCTGGAGTTCTCCCTGTGCCTGTGTAGGTTTTCATTTGGGTACTCTGGTTTCCTTCACCCTCCAAAGACATGCTGGTAGGTTAATTGGCCCTGGTATGTGTATGTATGAATGTGAGTTAGGGACCTTAGATTGTAAGCTCCTTGAGGGCTGGGGCTGATGTGAATGTACAATATATACGTATGTGTAAGGTTTGGTGTAAATTGACAGCGCTATATAGGTACCTGTAATAAAGTAAATAAATAGTACAGCTTCAATGAATGGGGGGGCAGAAAAAGTGGGCATTGTTGGTACTCTTGATGAATGGCTTGTATTAAACCCCGCAGCATTGGATGATTACTGCTGCAGTGGTATGTAGTGGGGTGGAGGATGGAAGATTTAAATGAAGAGAACAGCCATTTGGACTTCTCAAATCTCATCAGTCACTGGACTTCAAGCAGTTATACCAGGATGATGCCAGGGCTGGCTGTTGGCTCTCCTGTAAAAGGAATCAGAGCAGCTAACTAGCCATGGCTCAATTGCTTTTACAAGCAGCAGGAAGACGTCTGCCCCCTGTCTGTGGCTCTCTCGGGCTCTCCCATCCCACCAGGAGACCTGAGCGATCAGCTGGCACATCTGATGGCTTGCCGGACACCCGAACAAGATCAGGATCAGCTTTGATCGGCTCTCCACTATAGTAACCTGGATGCGATGACCTAACTTCCAGTTTACATGAATGTCAACAGCGCCATTTTTAAGAAATGAAAGCATTCAAAAACACAGATCTTGGAGTTTTGAATACTTTGAAGGGTAGAGGAGGATTTGGGGTCTTATAGAAACCAAATATCTCCATAAAGAGTACCTGTCACTGCCTCTTGCTGTCACAAGAGCTTACATTCCTTGTGACAGCAATAAAAGTGATTAAAAAAAATGTAAAACAACAGTGTAAAAAAAAAAAAAATAAAATAAATTAATAATAATAATAGAAGAAAAAAATGAAAGTGACCCTGTCCCCTCGATGCTCGCACGTAAAGGCAAATGCACATGATGGTCCTGCACGCACGCACACAGCGATCAATCCACACATGTGAGGTATTGCCATGAACATCAGATCATGGGAAGTAGTTCTAGCACTAGACCTCCTCTGTAAATCTAAAGTGGTAACATGTAAAGGCTTTTAAAGTGTCACCTAGGGATAGCACAATTTACATCATTTTGTCGTCATTGCATGGGCGTGCACAATTTTAAAGAGTGACATGCTTAATATCTATTCACTCAGCTTAACATCATCTTTGATATCTTCCAAAAAAATGGGTTACAGGTGAAACTCGAAAAATTAGAATATCGTGCAAAAGTTCATTTATTTCAGTAATGCAACTTAAAAGGTGAAACTAATATATGAGATAGACTCATTACATGCAAAGCAAGATAGTTCAAGCCGTGATTTGTCATCATTGTGATGATTATGGCTTACAACTTATAACAACCCCAAATCCACAATCTCCGAAAATTAGAATATTACATGCAATCAATAAAACAAATAGAACAATATCGGACCTCTGAAAAGTATAAGCATGCATATGTACTCAGTACTTGGTTTGGGCCCTTTGCAGCAATTACTGCCTCAATGCAGCGTGGCATGGAAGCTATCAGCCTGTGGCACTGCTGAGGTGTTAGGGAAGACTAGGATGCTTCAATAGCGGCCTTCAGCTCTTCTGCATTGTTCGGTCTGATGTCTCTCATCTTTCTCTTGGCAATGCCCCATAGATTCTCTATGGGGTTCAGGTCAGGCGAGTTTGCTGGCCAATCAAACACAGTAATCCCACGGTCATTGAACCAGGTTTTGATGCTTTTGGCAGTGTGGGCAGGTGCCAAGTCCTGCTGGAAAATGAAGTCAGCATCCCCATAAAGCTCATCTGCGGAAGGAAGCATGAAGTGCTCCAAAATCTCCTGGTAGACGGCTGCATTGACCCAGGACTTAATGAAGCACAGTGGACCAACACCAGCAGATGACATGGCTCCCCAAATCAACCCAGACTGTGGAAACTTCACACTGGACTTCAAGCATCTTGCAGTGTGTGCCTCTCCATTCTTCCTCCATACTCTGGGTCCTTGGTTTCCAAATGAGATGCAAAAGTTGCTCTCATCAGAAAAGAGGACTTTGGACCACTGAGCAACAGACCAGGTCTGTTTTTCTTTAGCCCAGGTAAGACGCTTCTGACATTGTTTGTTGTTCAGGAGCAGCTTGACAAGAGGAATATGACATTTGAAGCCCATGTCCAGGATCCCTCTGTGTGTGGTGGCTCTTGATGCACTGACTCCAGCCTCAGTCCACTCCTTGTGAAAGTCCCCAACACTTTTGAATGGCCTTTTCCTGACAATCCTCCCCAGGCTGCGGTCATCCCTGTTGCTTGTGCACCTTTTTCTTCCACACTTTTCCTTTCCACATAACTTTCTATTAATGTGCTTTGATACAGCACTTTGGGAACATCCAACTTCTTTTGCAATTACCTTTTGAGGCTTTCCCTCCTTATGGAGTTTGTCAATGATGGTTTTCTGCACAACTGTCAGGTCAGCAGTCTTTCCCATGATTGTGATTCCTACTGAACCAGACTGAGAGACCATTTAAAGGCTCAGGAACCCTTTGCAGGTGTTATGGCTTAATTAGCGGATTAGAGTGGGACACTTTGAGCCGAGAATATTGCACCTTTTCACAATATTCTAATTTTCTGAGATTGTGGATTTGGGGTTTTCATGACCTGTAAGCCATAATCATCACAATTATGACAAATCATGGCTTGAACTATCTTGCTTTGCATGTAATGAGTCTATCTCATATATTAGTTTCACCTTTTAAGTTGCATTACTGAAATAAATGAACTTTTGCACGATATTCTAATTTTTTGAGTTTCACCTGTATGTATTGTGTTTTTTTTCCATTGAAATTAAAAAAAGTGTATTTATTCATCAAAAATTGCGTTTGAAAAACTGCTGCGCAAATACCGTGTGACATAAAAAAAATAGCAAAACCCACCATTTTATTAATTAGGGCCTCCGCTTTAAAAAATATATAGTGTTTGGGGGTTCTAAACTAAATTTCTAGCAAAAAATACTGATTGTCAGAAAAAGGCCCGGAGGTCAAGTGGTTAAAAAGAAGATACTTTGTTCATGAATAAGATCGTATTTTGATCGATTAGATTATGAGAATATATGGTGGAAACAGAGATTTAATTGATAACTCAGTTTTAACAGACCAGATGTTCTAAAGAACTCTAACTTCTGCAAAACACACACATTGGTGCAGCTCTGTATGTAATAATACATTGTAGCTCTATATGTATTAAAACGATCGTATTTTGATCGATCCGATTGAGAATATATGGTGGAAACAGATGCAATTGATAACTTATGATCATACGTTATCATATCATATATCATATCATACAAGTTCCAGCCGTTTTGTGTTTATTAAAAGTCAGCAGCTACAAAACCTGTAGCTGCTGACTTTTAATAAACACACACTCACCTGTCCCGGGGTCCAGCGATGTTCTCACCCACGTTGTCCCTTCTACCCTTCTCTCCTCCACAGTGCCAGCATCTCAACCATGGGCACCAGGCTGTGACAGCTTGCGGCTTCACAACTTGGTGCCCACTGTGCATGCGCAAGTCGTGCTGCGCCTCCCCAGAGTGGCTAAATGGTTAGCACTTCCACCTGGCAGTACTAGGGTTGTCGGTTCAATTCCCAGCCATGGCACCATCTGCCTGGAGTTTGCATGTTCTCCCTGTGCCTGTGTGGGTTTCCTCCAGGTCCTCCCACACTCCAAAGACATGCTGGTAGGTGAATTGGCTCCTGTCTAAATTGGCCCTAGTATGTGTATGTATGAATGTAAGTTAGGGACCTTAGATTGTACACCCCTTGAGGGTTAGGGACTGATGTGAATGTACAATATATATGTAAAGTGCTGCATAAATTGACGGCACTATATAAGCACCAATAATACATAAATAATTGGTGCGGCAGTCTCCTGGGACCTGTGAAACTTCCCTGGAGACTGCCAGAGGGAGGAGGGGACCAAAGGTCCAGCTCACTTTGCTGCAGCGCACTGAGCTGGACATGGGAGTGGGTACCTGTCAAAAACACTCCTCTTTAAGCTCATATCTATTGACTGAAATCTACTCCCCCATGTGTGCCATATTCATTCAATGGGTTGTCGACTCTAGGTTGGGTATCCTAATCGGAAAAGAAATTGATCATTTCTGGCCACCATAGCAAAATGGTCACTGAGCATAAATATTCACTTTTTTCAGAAAATGCATTTGCCTTGGGTGCTCCAGCAGGAGGGGAAGGGGATCAAAAAACTTAGGACCTGCAACCTGTACTGCTAAAATAGATGCAACCTATAGAGGGGGGTGCACTCTGATCCTATTGGATTGGGCACTGAAAGTTGATTTACTAAAGACAAATACAGTAAATGTGGCAGAGCTCAGCTGTTTTCCATCATCTGGTCATATGCAAGCAAAAATGTTTTTTTTTATTTTCCTTACACCTGATTGGGTATTCTTTACAAAGTGAAGCTTTACCACCTTGCATGGACTAAGGAAATGTGCAACTCCACTTGCAAAGTGCACAGTCTAGTAGTAAATCTTGTGTCTCAGGACGGTCGTTGTAGGAGGTTGCATGGAGTGTGAAAGCCACATTACAGTGATCGCCTTCTCATCACCAGCAGAGGGAGACAGAGATACACCATCAGCCACCAAGCAGGGATGAAGGCAGCAGCTGTGGTCCTGATGAGAGCAGAGTGATGCTGAAGATGCTGCTGTGAGGGTCTCATGTCTTGGTTCTCCTGTAGACTCCATCATTCCTCTTCTACACCATGGGATGGTGGTGACGGGATCCCTCAGCCACACACTGGCAGTTCCAGGGTCTTTCGGAGTTGTTTGCTGGGTAACGTGTCCAGGACTATGAGCGCAGAGTGCTCCAGCTACACCACTGTGGAGAAGGTGTTAGTGGGGGCATTTAGCTGTCCCAGGGCGGACAGTGACCTGGGGGCTATATACTGCTGTGGATTTAAGGACTTCAAATACTGCTGCGATGACCCAAACAGTTTTTTCCCATACGAGCACAGTTACATGTGGTGGTTGAGGTAAGTCCTATTAAAGTTTATCATGAGTTAAGAATCTGTCACCAACAAAGAGCCTTTGGCCATGCAGCCGCATATGAATGACGTAAAACAGCCTCATTTAATGTCCCAATAAAATACTAAATGCTTTGGACCTATGCAGCTTCCTGCTGAGTGTTTGGAAATTTTGCACTGCTGACTATTCAGCAACGGCAGCATGAATTGAAATATTAGCTGTGATCTTGCCCCATGTGTGACAGATTCACTTAAAAGTTACTTGTTGACAGTATTTTGTTTTATATTATATACTATTTCATTAACTGCTAGGCATGCAAGATTGTTCAGTTAGCTAATGCAACAAGCAGACAATGGGGGGAAACTCAGTAGCCCGTGTCAAAGCATTATTTAAAAAAAAAGACTTCTATTTCTGAGTGCAGTCAGTTCTTATAGTTTGCAGTTTGCAATTAAATTATTGAAAAAAAGGGATTTACTGGTTCGGTTTTAACAGATCGGATGTTCGAAATAATTCTAACTGCAAAAGACACACATTGGTTCAGCCCTGTACAGTATGTGTTAATACATCTTTAAATGTATGTTGTTTAATGCAAGTACCTGAATTTGATATGGCATAGCTTCTGTACAGCAGAGCTTAGACTGGGTGAGGGAGAAGCAGCACAAGGCGCTAAACAGCTGTGGTTCAGGGCAGGAAGCAAACTGATAGTAGGAGAGAGCAGAGACGGCTGTTCTTCCAGAAAGGGTTGTACTTTAAGCATGATGTAGACATTGGGGGGAGGCCCTAATACAGAGAGTTGGTTTACATTCTCAATGACAATCACACATTTTTAAAATGCATGACACAACGTCATTGTGAGATCATGTGTGCGCACCCTGGATGCAGTCATAGCGCTCCATCTGTGCTTTGTTTGAGCCACCAAAATTAGTTTTTAAAAAACGATACAATATACCAATCCAGAGTAAAACACCTCTTCAGATGATGGCGGGCTAAATATTACCTCCCAAATAGGGAGGAAAAAGTATGTGAACCTTTGGACTTAATAACTGGTTGACCCTCCTTTGGCAGCAATAACCTCAACCAATGCCACAGCATTTCAATCGGGTTGAGGTCAGGACTCTGACTGGGCCACTCCAGAAGGCGTATTCTGTGCTGTTACAGCCATTGTTTTGTTGAATTACTTGTATGCTTTGGGTCATTGGCCTGTTGCATCACCCATCCTCTGCGGAGCTTCAGTTGGCGGACAGATGGTCGTACGTTTTCCTGCAAAATGTCTTGATAAACTCTGGAATTCATTTTCCCATCAATGACAACAATCTGTCCAGGCCCTGAGGCAGCAAATCAGCCCCAAACCATGATGCTCCCTCCGCCATGTTTTACAGTGGGGATGAGGTTTTGATGTTGGTGTGCTGTGCCTTTTTTTCTCCACACATAGTGTTGTGTGTTCTTCCCAAACAACTCAATCTTGGTTTCATCTGTCCACAGTATATTTTGCCAGTAGTGCTGTGGAACATCCAGGTGCTCTTTTGCAAACTTCAAACGTGCTGCAATATTCTTTTTGGACAGCAATGGCTTCCTCCGTGGTGTCCTCCCATGTACTCCATTCTTGTTTAATGTTTTCCTTATTGTAGATGTGTCAACAAAAATGTTAGCATGTGCCAGAGATTTCTGTAGGTCTTTAGCTGACACTCTGGGATTCTTCTTTACCTCATGCAGCATTCTGCGCTGTGCTCTTGCAGTCATTTTTACAGGACGACCACGCCTAGGGAGAGTAGCAACAGTGCTAAACTTTCTCCATTTGTAGACAGTCTGTCTTACCGTGGACACATGAACATCAAGACTTTTGGAGATACTTTTGTAACCCTTTCCTGCTTCATGCAAGTCAACAATTCTTGATCGTAGGTCTTCTGAGAGCTCTTTTCTGCGAGGCATGGTTCACATCAGACAGTGCTTCTTGAAACCAGTAAACCCAAAACAGGTGTGTGTTTTTTTAAGGGCAGGACAGCTGTCAGCAACACATCCAATATCATCACACTGATTGGACTCAAGGTTGGCTCACTCCTGGCTCCAATTAGCTCTGGGAGAAGGCATTAAGCTAAGGCCTCACATACTTTTTCCTCCCTGCACTGTGAATGTTTACATGTTATGTGCAATTAAACCATGGCAACATCTAATGTTTGTGTAGTATTATGTTCAGCAGACTGTGTTCTTCTATTGTTGTGACTTAGATGATGTTCAGAGCACATTTTATGCCCAATTCATGCAAAACTCCACGTAATCCCAAGGGGTTCACATACTTTTTCTTGCAACTGTACTTCTGGAAGAATGGTCAAACATGCCCATAGACACCCTCCTAAACCTTGTGGACAGCCTTCCCAGAAGAGATGAAGCTATTATAGCTCAACTCAATATTGAACCCTATGGACTAAGACTGGGATGCCATTATAGTTCATGTGTGTGTAAATGCAGACCAACCAATACTTTTAGCAGTATAATGTATCTTGGTTGAAATCAAGGCACCTGAGGGATACAGATCAATACAATTCCCTATATTAATAGTTTGATAATATATGTTAAAAAATGAGAAGGGTAGGATACAGTTGATACCAGGGAATCAGCCCAGGTATGATCTTTATTGCATACTTACATTGGCCAGCTTGGCACTGTATAAGTAAGTGGACTGCTGGGGAAGCTGGCAACCACTGTTGTAGCTGGTGATTTTCTGGGTTCTGTGCAGAGTGTCTTCACCTCAGCACACTGACCACAGGAGGTCCATAGGAGGAATGAAGAGGTAGGGCAGTGTTGTCATGATCTCCACTTCGACCAATCAGAAAACACCTTGCCTTATTTGAAAAACACTGAAAAAGGACCTGGAAGATCATGGCTATTACTGTAGTAGCGCCGACTACTACAGTTAATGTCAGCTTCCCCAGCGATCCCTTGGTATGAAATATGCATACTCACATTGTGCCAAGCTGGATCACACCTCCTGTATTAGAGTGCCTCCACTCTGGATGAAGGAGCACAGGGGGAACCTCTGGAGAGTAGCATTGCCAGTCTGGGGGAAGGGGAGTTAGCAGATTTAAATACTCTAACAAATGAAAGCCAACCTCCAGTTTACACTTTATAATCCATTACAGCAGTTTTGTTCCTTTTGGGATAAAGGTTTTACATAAATAAATAAAACCTAATCATTATCAGAACCACCCCCACCCCACCCCCTACCACAGTCAGTGGTAAATAGTTTGTGTCAACACTCTAACTGATACATTTGCAAGACATTGTGTTCTGTTGAAAAACAACAGACTTACCGGTCAGATCACCCGGTGAACCCGATTTTTTTTTTTTTACAAATTCTGTACTAATTACTTGAAAATTTGTTCTGTTATCTTACGGGAACATTTTTCATACTTGTCCCATTGGATATTTTTGCATGAACTGTCGTGATCAGCTCTCAAAAGGTACGTACTAACGATCAGATTGTCAGACGATTGCTCCAAAAAGCTTTTTATTTTGATCAATGTTCTCATCGTGTGTACTAGGCGTTACATATATCACTGTGACCAGGGGCGGACTGACTATTTGGAAACTCGGGCACTGCCCGAGGGCCTGGGGTCAGTAGGGGGCCCCATGAGATGCCCCTGGTACCTTTTTCATAGGCTTTTTTGAGTTTTGGCAAGGACACAGGGGCCCCATGATCCCCTATTGCCTGGGGGCCCCATGAGTTGTAAGTCCGCCCCTGGCTGTGACGCCACAATTTAAAATACCATCCATAAGAACACTGTGTATTAATTTAATCAGACATCTGAGGTTGTATGAGTTTTATCCATCGGTAGAATTTCTATATGTACTAATGTATAATTCAGTGGCTCATGACTGGAGCAGTCACCTGGGTTCACCGCAGCTCTTTAAATGATTAATAGTCAGTGTATGGAAGGGTTTGTGCGGCATTTTTATTGGATTTCTGTGTCTCAACCCATGTGCAGGGATTGAAAACACTTCCAGTTGCAGAGTGATGATCGTTTTATTAACTTTGCCTAATTAAGTCTGTTTAATCCGCACTGAGATCTCGGCTGTAACAAGAAGCAGGACGTGCACCTCTCTCATCACACGGAGCTGATGACAAGGTGCGATTGTATGCACAGTATACTGTATATATTAGACCATTGGCGCAGAGGTTATCCTGCATATTTAAAGAGGCAGTGCGGGGAGCAATCATTCTGTGAAAAAGGCCAGCAACCCACAGCAACCGGCCAAATGATCAGTTCAAAGAAGCAAGAGAAAAATGCTTAGCAGTGCACCCGTTCAATTATAAAAGATAAAAAGATGTGTGTGACCAGTGTGTCAATGTATGGATTGCAGTAGAACTAGCGTCAGATATAGTCTTTCTTGTTATGTACACGCTTGCCAAGTAATGTGTAAGTGTACTCCTGACAATGCTTTCATCTGCTTTTCTCACCAGAAGATCAACACCACATTTATTCCATGCATTATCCAGGGTCAGCATGTCCTTACTGGACTGAAATGCTGGCTAATATATTTTCTGCCTGTGTTCACAAATGCCTGACACAGATCATCCCCTGTTGCAGACGCTCATCATTTACTAAAACTAGAGAGCACAACATTTGCTGCAAGAAACCATTAAAGGATAAGTTCACCTTTTGTAACATGTTACATGTAACACCCATATTCAGTGTGTAACCAGGGGCGGACTGACAACTCATGGGGCCCCGGGCAATAGGGGATCATGGGGCCCCCTGTGTCCTTGCCCAAACTCAAAAAAGCCTATGAAAAAGGTACCAGGGGCATCTCATGGGGCCCCCTACTGACCCCAGGGGATCATGGGGCTCCTGTGTCCGCCCCTGGGTGTAACATGTTATGATTGGACCAGCCCCCCCACACCCCCCCCGATGCCTGTTGTGACAGTTGGCGGGGGGGGGGGGGGGGGGGGGTCTTCTCCTCCCTTCCCACTAGCTGTCACAATTTTTTAAAAATTGCACCCGTGCGGGGC